TAAGCGCGTGGGCCCGCGATCTTGGCGGCCCTCTGCCCGTGCCTCTTGAGTCAGGTCCACCACGCCGCGCGACCCAGCCGCCTCCTCGCGGGCCCGAGGGTCCTTCTTGCCCAACAGTGGAGGTGGCTCCCCACCACGGCCCGCCCGCTCCTTGGCTGGACCTTCCCGCGACAAGCCTTTGGTCGGGGCGCCCGAGGAGTGGCTGCTGGAGGTCCTGGAGGAGGGCGCGTGAGAGTGCAGGGCGCCCGGAGCCCCCGGAGCCGGCAGGTAGAAGCCGTCTGTGGAGAAGAACACAACAGTGAGCCAGTGCCACCTCCCACCTCTGCCAGGGCAGAGGGGGCCCTGAGAGGGTGCCCTGCAACCCTAGGACAAGGAAGAGGGACATGCACAGGTAGCCCTTGGGAGGGCAGGCTGTGAAAATGGCTGGAACCAAGTTTAAATCTCACCTTGGCCACCAACTAACTATCCTAAGCCTCAGTTTCCTCATATGTAAAAGGGGGAGAGGCCAAGGGTTAAGAGCTGCCCAGAGGGCCTAACAGGGCTAATGAAGAGAGAACAACTACACCTAGTGAGCCGGTGGGAGCCCTTAGGCACTGAAGTCTCAAAAAAGCATCTTGGGCAAGGGTCTTAGAAAACAGAGCTGGGGAGCTGCCTGGGATACTGGTGAGGGCCCAGAGAAGCCCCTCAGAAGGTCCCTGTGCCACCCGCTCCACAGTCCCCCCGGTCTCACCCACTCCTATCCCCTGACCTTTCTGGGTATCGAAAATGCTGGGCTGGCCCAGCTGGCTGAGGAGGGGGCTCCCACTGCTGGGGGGCTCCAGGTGGTTCAGATGGAGGTAGGATGGGTACAGCCCGCTGGGAAGGTGGGAGAAGCCTGGAAGAGAGAAGAGAAAAGCTGGGCTGGACCACTTCATTACTTCCCACAAGGAGCTTCCTTCCAGCATTTTCATTTTCTTGAAAATTAACTATTTTGGCTGTCAGCCCCCCGGTGCAGGGATCCCTGAGGTTTAACACCAGCTCCCCAGGACCACGCTTGTCCCCCTCCCCAACCCTGGCTCTTTGGGCCTCCCTCCAATCCCAGGCAGTTTTCAGGGGCTTGGTTTCTCCAATCCCCCAGGAAAAGGATCAGAATGGATCCAATTAGAAGGGGATGACAGCAGCTTGCCAAGTACGGTCAACTGCTTTGCCACTGTTGTTCTCGTTTAAACCTCAAAACAACCTAGGAAGCAGATACTCAATGTCCTTACTTTACAGATAACAAAACTGAGGTTCAGAGAGGAACACTTGCCCAAGGTCATCCAGTGCAGGAGCCCAACTTTGAACCGAAGTCATCAGACTCTACAACTAGAACTCTAAACCTCAGCCCAGCATGGGCCCCTTCTCATCTATGTGACCCCAGGCTGGTCACTCGCCTCCTATGAACCTCGGCATACCCAGCATCTGCTGCTGGCAGGTCTCCCAGGCAGGTGCGGCCAGGAAGGAATTCCTCCTGCCAAGGGTCCTCCCACCCCCGGAAAGGCCCCCCAACCAGTGATGCCCAGAATTGGGACGTTGCAGGACAAAGACAGGACATAGTGGCTGCAGAGAGAGAAGCAAGACCCCTAAGAGGGCACACGGGGAAGGGGCCCAAGAGGCCCTGCTCAGCAGGGGCCAGAAGGCCAAGCAGGCAGGCAGATGCTGGGGCACTGGGCATGGGTCCTGATACTCAACATGGGCGGAGGGGTCCTACAAGGGTGACCTGGGTACCCTTGCTGCCTCCAAGGCCAGGGATGCAGACCCTGGCCCTGATCCACTGGGCCAGTGTTTTTACCCCCAGGACCACCTGATAATGACATTAACAACATTTACGTAACAAAAAGGACCACCAGATACACGTTATCTCATGTAATCATTGAAACAATGCCCAGTGTAAGCATTGGGTCCCTCTGCTCTCTCATCTGTATAATGGGCATACTAGTTCCTATCTCAAGGCTGGTTCTGAGGTTAAAGGGGACTCAAATACACAGTGCCTGGGACAAAGTAAGTACAACATGTGTTTACTATCATTATTATTCACTAGTATTGTTGGCAAAAGAGAAAAGGGCATCTCAGGTAGGACAGAGGACAGGCTGGTGCCACAAAGGTACCAGAGGCAGCCTCTTGCTCCTCCAGCCCCTGCAACACCCACCCTGGCTGGCTGAAGTGGGAGATCTGGGTGGCACCCCATCCCAGAAGGGCCATGCACCACCATCCCAGGCCATCCACCATCACACCCCCACCCCCTGGCAGAGGCAGGGTGGACCCCTGTGTGAAGGGCACACACCCTCATTCCTGGATTCAGATGCCTTTCCCACGGGGCCTGGGAGGAGCAGCCTGGGTGGCCTCATCTGTACAATGGGGACAATGCTGTAAGGACTGGAGGAGGTCTTGTGGCTGAGAGCACCTCTGGCTGCACCTATTTCCTCCTGGCTAAATGGAGCCGCCCACAGCCCCACCCTGCAGGATTTGGGATGACAGTGAGCACTTGGTCAAACCCAGGCCTCCAGGAGGAACCGCAGAGACAGTGGGCTGTGACAGCCCCAGCCTGCATTGGGCGCTGCCAGGGCTGCAACCTTCCAGGACCCAGGGGACACCCACAGGCCACCTAAGAGGCAGAAGGAGGGACCTAGAGCCTGATATCTAAAATCCACCAAAGCCAGAGGTGGGGGAGGAGCTCAGGGGTCCCCCAGGCCCTCCCTGCACTGACAGAGGGAAGTAAGGCTCCAGGGAGGTCCAGAATTTGCTCAGGGCCAGCAGAAAGCCAGGCCTGCAGACCTCCACACTCGAGGTCATCACAACAACAAAAGAGGGTCCGATGGCCCCAGGTCCCACCACTCCTTCAATCATTAACAAACCTACTGTAGAACAAACCAGGCCCTGCCCTCAGAGATCACTCCAGTGGGAAAGTGGAGAGTTCACCAATAATCACACGGACAAATGTGGAAGAGGGTAGGGGAAGGTGGGGTGTTTGAGCGGAGTCCTGAAGGAGGAACAGGCCAGTGAGGTGGGGTGAGGGGCTGCAAGCAGAGGGAATGGCCTGTGCAAAAGCCCCGTAACAGCCACAAGAGAAAGCACTGAGCATCTGAGGAACAGCTGGGAGGCCGGATGACCAGGGCTAGGCCCCAACAGCCATGGCGAGGAGGAATGAGTGTGGAGGTGGAGGAGAACGGGCAGACTTGAAAAGTGCTCGGGACATAAAATCACCAGAGTGGTGGGGACAGCGGCCTGGCAGCCCTCAGCCCCACCCGCCTGGCATGCTCCTTACCTTCATGGGCATGGGCAGCCCACAGCTGCACCATGGGCAGGTTGCTGGGGGTGGGGGAGCGGAAGGAGAGGTCAGAGGGCAAGGGCACCGGGCTCCCATGGGATGAGGCCGAGGGTCCCATCCCGCTGGCCACAAAGCTGCCCAAGAAGGCCTCGCCTGCAGAGAGAAGGGGGGCCGTCAGGCAGCCAACCAGGCCACCGCTGCCCCAGCCCTCTGCCCCAGGACCTCCATCTCTCCCCACTGCACAGAGTAGACACTGGCAAGGAGACCAAAGGGATCTCCCCTGACCCACCCCAGCTCTTTGGCTGCAGGATGGGCCTGGGTCAATTCAACCAGACCCAGAGTTTAAGAAAGCTGTAGACCTCAGAAAGACAGCCAGAAGAAAGCCACCACAGCAGACCTTTACCCCCAGATCCCCCAGCACCCTCAGAAGAGGGCTTTACCAACCCTGCTGCACAACCAACTCACATCCAAGGGGGCACCATTCTCCCCATTTGCAGAAGGAAACCTGAGTCCAGTGGGGGGCTGGGACCTCCTGAGGCCACAGAGTGGTGGTGTTGTGAGCTCTGCAGAGCTCCTGGACCAGCGAGAAGGCCCTCGAGTCAAAGAATGACTTCCCTGAGGACCCCACAGCAGCCCTGGAGGTGCATGGACCCTCTGAGTCCTTAGCAGCCTTTGTGCCCATTTAACACATGAGGAAGCTAAGGCTCAGAGATGGAAAGTGCCTGGTCACACAGTCAGTGAGGGGTGACTCAGAATGCACACCCAGAGCCCGCAGTGAATTAGGGAATGAATCCATAAGTGGATGAGAGCGTCAAGTGTGGAAGTGGATAAGGTGTGAGGGAGCCCTGCTCAGGGGGCCATCACTCCAGATGACAGAACCCACACACCCAGGGTCCCTGCTAATGGGGGCCCCAGGGCCGGCTGCTGCTCCAAGAACAATCTACAGTCGGCTGGGGCCTGGATGGAAACCACACCAACCTACCACGCCCCATTTGTCCAGGCCCATGCTGGACAGGACAGCTCCTCACTGCCATACAGGGACTCTGTCCCACAAGCTCCAAACACCCCACATTCCAGCAGAGGAGCCTGGCAGTCCGCCGGGTCATGGGCCCAAGGAGGCCTGCGAGACCACGGGCAAGAGGCTTCCCTTGCTAAGCCTCAGCTTGCTCTTCAGCAAAATGGGGGCAAAAAAAAATGCCTCCTTCAAGAATGTAGTGAAGTCGGAAGCATGCACTTAAATTAATCACAACAATCATAATGAACACTAGGAGTGCCCATTTGCTAACAGCTAGCAGGCACCAGCCCCTGCAGGTGATCTCAAATCCTCCCAACAACGCCCTGGGGAGGAGGCTGCAGAGCCCTGAACACAGAGCTGGGCAAAGTGGCACTAAGTATCTACCAGGTGTCAACTCTGGCCGGCCCGCGTGTGTACCCACTCTAAGTCCCTGTACAGTGGATGCTGTCTGCAGGTGGCACAGAAGTTGACTGCAGAGAGCATGAAAACAGACCATATGTGTGGCTCAGGTGCCCAGGCAGCCCCAGTACAGCCCGCATGGGGCTCACAGACCACAAACCCAACCTCTGAATCCCCAGCAGCGCCCCCTATGCAAGGACTGCATACAACAGGTGCTACTGACCCCCTCCCAGGGGTACGGAATCCCAAAATGTCCAATTCAGCCCCTTTAGGGATACCACATGGGGAAACTGAGGCCTCAAGGGGCAGGGCCTCCACCTTGGTCCCCCAGAGTGGAGAGGACAGCAGGCAGAGCAATGGGAGCCACCCTCTGGTCACATGCTCCGCCGCCACCACCCCGTGTCCAGCCCCCCACACTCCAGCCCAGCCCAGCCCCCCTCACCAGACTCCAGCGCCAAGCCCTCGGGACCCAGGGCCATGTTGGCCAGTCAGTCCATCCATGCAGCCCAAGCCAGGGCAGCAGGGCCTCTGGGCCCTGCCAAGCCCCAGGCTTCCTCCTTGGTGTGACAGGCAGGCGGGGGGAAGGCTCCGGAAGCCGGCAGCCAGAGGTTTGCGCAAGGGCTTACATCAGCCGCCAGCTCTTCCTGCCCGGGCTGCACGGAAGCCCCATGGTCCGACCTGCGCCTGCCCAGGCTTGTGAAACCCGCCCAGTGCCAGCCCGGGCCAGCAGGGTGTTGGGGCCCGGATGCCACCAACGGCTCCTGCCTGCCACAGGGCTCAACGGCATCCAAACTCCCTCCTCCCAAGCCTGGTGGAGGCCACTGGGGACCCTGAGGAACCCAGGAAGTCAGTGCTGCACTCAGGGCCCCAGTCAGCAACTCGGTAAAACGGTCCTACGATCCCTACTTGCCACCAACCTTGAGGACAGCGAAGACAGTGGTGTTTATTTACACCTATTCACTGCCTGCATCCCCTTCCTACATCCCTCTCCTGCAACCAAGCCACAGATGACAGTTGTCACTCATGGCTCACAGCCCCAGTGCCTGCCTCCCTTTCCCACCTCACCCAGCCCGCAGCCCCTCCCTCTAGACCGCTCCTTGCCCATTCCCATCTTGGGGCCTCACTTGAGCTGCCCCCTACAGCCACGCAAGCCAAGCAGGCCCAGATGGTTCTGTCCACCTATGACAACTTAGAAACATAGATCTGTCAGCCTGACCACGCGCTCCCATGAGAAGGTTCGCTCCCTGAGGGCAGGGCCTCTGTCGGCCTTGCTTCCCACCATATCCCAGCGCCCAGGACCTGGCACCTAAGAGATGCTGCATTTTTGGATTAAGTGACCACGAAGTATTATTTCTAATGCTCACAGGGTCAAAGCAGGTAGATACATGTTAGGATTAGAAGAGAAGGTCAGGGCAGCCCCTGGCCCACAGGAGAGGCTCAGTAAACTCCAAGGAAGCCACATGTCACTCAGGCCATCCTGCCTGGCCTCCCGGGGGGGGAGTGAGCACAGACAGTGACCATGTCACCAGCGTCTCCAGACTGCTGACTGAGTCCCGACAGTATGCCTAGAGCTCCTTGCAGCATCCTGGTACAAATCCCCCACCCCCGCCACCTGCTCATGCCCACCCCTAGGAACCTAGCAGTGGCCACTCCCAGTTGACCAAGATGGGTGCAGGCCTCAGGGCTCCAGCAGTGACAGTCAGGCCCAGAGATCACGGGCCTCTCTGAAGACTTTGCTGGATTCCTCAAGCCAAACTGATGTGGGGGATCTCCTTCCCTCCCACCCCAGGCTGAGCTCAAGGCCTGGTCCCCCAGCTCTTGTACCAGGCTGCCCTCTGTTGACAGGAAGCCTCCATGCTACCCACTCACCCCAATAATTATCTCACTTGACATCTTAGAAGCTGAGACCAATGACTGTCAAAACCTAAAACACACATGTAACAATAATAAATTACCATCATTCATTTTAACGACAGAACTCTACGAGGGCTGGGCACTACTCTGCCTGCAGTAACTCACTGAATCCTCATGCCAGCCTTTCGTAGAGTGCGAGACTACTGACAGCCCAAGGTCACATAGGCGTGCGGCTGGGGGGTTGAGCTGGGATGGGAACAGGCCAACTCCAGAGCCCAGTAGCCTGCCTCTAAATGCCTCCAATGGAAGAATCACACGAAAGCTACCAGGATATGCTGGGAGAATGTTCCCCACTGCCCTGCCTGTCATCCTCAACAAACTGGAAACAATCTGTGTGTCCATCAGATGGGGATTGGATAAATTAAAGACATACAGCAGTGCTGCAGCAACAGTGCCCGACAGATGTTCTGTACCTGTGCAGTGCAATAGCCACTGTCCACGCCCTGCCACTGAGCACCTGAAATGTGGCCAGTGAGACTGAGGAACTATATTTTTTACTTTATTAAATTTTAATTAATTTAGATTTAATTTAGCAACAGTCTGGGCTGGAGGTTCCTCCCTGCTAGAAACTGGAGGTAGTAGGCAGGAAGGGTCAGTATACACACGGGGAGGGATTCAACAGAGAGGTCACCAGGACAGAGCCACGGGACAAATCCTAGCTGCGACGCCCACTTGCTCTGTGACTTTGGGCAATTTTCTTAACTTCCCCAGGCTGTATGAAATGTATAATGTAGTAACATCTACCCCTCAGGGCTGATGTGAAGATTAAGTGAATTCATATTTGTAAAATGCTCTGGACATTATCTGGCATGAAGTAACTGTCATGTAACATCGGCTATTACTATTATTGTTACTTTAATTTATAGTTACGAAAGCTGGGGCTCAGAAAAGCTAAGCAACTCCTCCAGGGTCAGGGTCCATGTGGAACCACTTCCCCTACCCAAATGCCATTTGTCCTTCCTTAGAACAAAAATTTAATTTTGAAACTAGAGAGCACTGGCAGTTGCACACTGTGAGTGCACTAAATACCACTGAATTGCACACTTTCAAATGGTTAATCTCATGTTATGTGAATTTCACCTAAATTTTCTAAAAAAAAACCACTAAACTCTGCTCTCTACCTCCAAATCCAGTGCTGTGTCTCCACCAGTTAGGACAGGCTGGCCAGTGAACCTGCCTCTCTGCCCAAGGCACCCCAGGGCCCCTTCCCAGATCCTGGCTCACCCTCCCACAGCCCTGGGAGCAAGGGAACCTTGTTTACACATTTTACAGATGAAGGAACTGAGGCGCAGAGAGGGGGCCCAGGGTCACCAAGCCAGTAACCAAGTCAGCATTGAGACTGGTGCCATTGTGCACAAGCACACCATACGCCAAAGCCTCAGCTAGGGATCCTGCTGTACCAGTGACACCCCAGTACATGTGTGGGTTCTCCTTTTGTCTTCTTCTCTACTCCAGACCCCCAACTGTGGCCCCTGGAAAAGGAGGTGGCACTCACCCATGAGGGTCCCAGAGGGGTCACCACACCTGTTTTATAGGAGGATCACATACCCACTTTTTCAGTTAGCAGTAGAAAAGGGAGTCATTTTGTTCTTTTTTGGGTGGAAGTTGAGCAAAATCCTAAAACAAATGAGTCCCTCCAGAGCAGATAATTTATTAGTCTCCTTCTTGAACTATCTCAGCCAAGTGCAAGACCCAGCCCAGTGCAGATGCTCAACCAACATTTAGCGATATTCAGATATGTGTTATCTCTGAGTTGACAATCTCTAATCCTAAACAGGTCAATCCATCTGACGAAGGGAAACTAAGGCTCAGAAAGGAGGCACAT